GAACTTGTATTGCAAGCACAGGTTGCCAGTTCATGCCATTGTGATTTCTTTCCATATTTAATCAACTAAAATAATTTTATTTTCTTTAACAATTTGTTTTAAAAATATCAGTTTTTCCCAACTTGCCATTTATAATAAACTGTCAAAGCTATACTCCATTTCCCATGGGAAATTTATTTCCCTCCATTGTATGCACCCAGCCTCTTATTGTTAGATTTCATGAGTACAAGGCTGCCCGCATGGTTTTGTTTTGCCTTCAGCAAAAGGGTTGTAGTGAATTTGTCTGAAAAACATTTCCCATCCTTGCACTGGCAAAGAGGAGGGGGTTGGCAGCAGATTTATTGAGTTACATACTCAGATTTAAATCCTGCATGTAAAATTCCCAATATATGTGTGTCCTTCTCTGATTTCCAGAACTCATCACTGTCCTGATGTCTAAATGGTTATGCTTTAAACTTTGAAAACATTTATCATACTGTAAATGTAGTGAGTTTGTATTTTTAGCTTTGACAAAAATATCTTGATGATCTGGAAAAGCCTGCATGATATCATCAAACCTTTTAATTTTAAAACAAGGCTTTAGAAGGCATTACCTGATCTGTGGTTAAAGGGTGACTGAGGAAAAACTCTGGTCTTCCTACTGCTGTGAGAAATTATAATTGCAGAACCTTCAAATTGCCACAGAGGAATTACTGGGATATAAGTTGTTTTTCAAGGTGATTAGGAGCTATTTATAATTAGAGATTTCTTGACCTTGACTCCAGTGATAATATTTGCCTCTTTCATCATTTCCAAATCACTCGCTCTAGGTCCAGCCAGGTTTGGCAATGTATTTATGTATAACTCCAATGAAAACTTGTCGTTCCTTTTAAAAATTAAAATAATAATAAAAATCCCCCCCAATTCTGCCCTGCTTTACCTGTTTCAGAGCAGAAGCCTGGTGGTGTTATCTTTATAAAATTAATGTATTTGTGTTTTATAGGGAGGGGAAATAGTTACAAAAGGAGTGTAACGAGTACAAAATACCAGTGACTCGTAGGGGTTGTGGCAGCTTCAACCTTTATCTAGACATGTGCTACTAATGGTCATGAGGATTGCAAGGAACTTTTTGGTGACTCAATTATTCATCATTAAGTCAGACTGCTATTAGCTCTGTTCACAGGACTAAGCCTGCGTGGAGCAGAGTTGGTGAAATCATTCACGTGACTTTGCATAACCATGTTCGTTAGGACAAAACAGGTAGAGGTGATTTCTCTTTCATAAATTATATGGGGTGAGCAGAGAATATGGGATAAAGATACATTTGCTATTAAATTTTCAAAACTATCCAAATGGGAGCGGGTAAAACCCTATGCTGTGTGCTGAGGGTTAATCCAGCTGTGTCAGCTCTGAGCCCACCTGTGCACTATTGGCTGAGAGCAGGGGAGGGAGGCAAAGGCAGACAATCCACTGCTTAATTTAGACAGTGACGAATGGGTTGCTGTGCAGGATGCTTCACTCCTGGATGTCTGGGGTGATGCAGATGCTAAAAAGGGAAACCCATTTTCTCATATCTTTACAAACAAGGTGTCATGGGTGGCAGCTCGCCCTGGCCTGCATCTTTTTAGTGAGGCCACTTAAGGTGCTTGGAGGGTGGCAATCTTAATCATTCATCATATTATAGTGCCGTACCCAGTCCCCCTACTTTTCCATGCTTTTGGGCTGGCTGATTCCATACCACAGCCATTTTGTCCAGGCATTTGCTTTTGTACCTGGACACGTCAAATCTGACAGAGATATAAGTGCATAGAGGAGCTGTGCTGCTCACTCTGCATTTTAACCAGTACTCTGCATTTTCCACCTCCTCTTCGTTATCTCGGCACAGCTGAATACAGGGATTTGCAGGGAATGGGAGTAGGGAAGAATCCAGGTTATATGGCAAAAAGAAAACATAAGAAAGCTCAAGGTCAAGGGGTGCAGTCTGTTAGACCCAGGTATGGCGCCAGAGAGAACCATGGTGGGAACCATTGTACAAAATTTCAGGAGGGGTTTTCAGATTTTTTTAGTCTGCTCTGGCATATGGTTGGGGACCACTATTTTTACCTCATGGCCTTTTTATTTGCAGCATGTGCTGGTTATAGGTTAGACTGATGCAGATTGTGCTGAATGTGATACTGAGATCCTGCCTGCATGCACTGTGTGCTGATGACATCCAGCCAAAGGCTTAAATGTGCCTCATGCAGGCCTGAGATCATAATAGCTTTTATTTGTAGAATTTGGATGAACAAATGGTCTTTTCTTAGCCCAGCCCAGCCCTATTTCCTTTCTATTTTAGGAGATGATGATAATTGCTAGTTTTTCATGTATATACCCAACAGTTTTGCCAGAATTAAGATCAGGTTTATTTAAAAACCATCTCAGCCTAATACGACAGAAATGGGCTATTAGTTTACTTTGATTCTAGACATTCAATGTGTCTGTCATATTAGCAGAATGGAAATTATGTTAATTTTCTTTTGCAAAACACTTCAAGGAACCCAGAAAGAGTAAGTAGATGTCATTGTTGCTAAAGAATAATAAAAGGATGTTACCAACCCCTTGTATTAAACATGAGCACAAGATTAAGTCTGGTGCTCAGACTTACTGTGCCTTTGGCTTACAAAGAAGCAATTAAGCAGAGGTACTTCATAGGTCCCTACTTCCTCCATGTAAATGGTTTTGGCATCACTAAAGATCAAGATACTGGACTAGGTAGACCTTTTGCATAAGGCAGTTTTTCTATTCTCACTACCTTGGAAATTCAGTTAGAAACAAAATGAAGTGCTTTAAAAATCTCTTTATTGATTCCATTTCTGAGCAATTTCAGCTTCACGGAAGCTTTTTGGATAAAAATGAAAAAAAGCATGGACAATACAGCAGATTTTTTGAGGGAATATGTAACAGGGAGTGTATCACAGTTTGGCAGGACCCCAGGTCAGGGCTGTGGAAGCTGGCACACTAGGAAGAAGCACTAGTGCTTGGAAGCTTAGAAATGGGTGCTGTTTTTAAAACTGCAGTTCAGCACCCACTGAGACTGAGGAAAGATCTCATTTGTTATCACAGTTGAAGACACGGTGCATGCTTCAGATTTAGCATAAGAAAATGTGGGCTGGAATGGACCTTGAGAGGTCATGTAGTATCCTCCCAAAACCAAAGCCAAGAGCAGTGTACCAAAACCACCCTGACATGTGTTTGTCCCTTCCTCACCCCTGTGCTGGAAATTCCAGAGCCTCCCTTAGTGACCTGCTCCAGCCTTTGCTGTCATTACAGGATGGCATGGAGCCTTGAGCTGTCACGGCAGAGCAGAGGGATCCATTACATGGTGTCACTCCTTGTCATTTCATGATTTCAATTTGTAACATATGTCCTCTAGAGAAAAGTCCTGGTATTAGGACATCTCAGGGTTACTTTTCAAGTCCAAGTCATGTCAACAAGTCTGTGACTTGCATTTTATCACGAGATACCATGGTGCTTAGTCCCCTTCCCTTCTATTTTTAAGGGATTTGAGAAGAAAAAGAATGCTGATAGAAAGAGGGACATACTGCAAATGATGACCTGGATAGCAGGAATGTGCAGCAAATATTTGGGGCTCTCTTGGCCCATTATCCAACAAACAAAAGTCAGGTCCTGTAGTCAAAAGGACTGACTCTCCTCTCTTTAGAAGTTGTGATAATAAAACTTAGACTTGCCCTTTTTCAAGGCATGGGGTTGCCTGGGCCATAAATCCATGAGGAGATGAAGGTTTTCAGGCTGTACCTGTTCACTCAGCTTGAGCCAGTGGAGTCAGGATGATCTTTTCCCTCCTGCCTGGGCTTTAAAGGTTCTGTTCTATTTGTCTCCATTCGTTGCCATTTGTTGATATTTCAGGCATGTAGAGAGGATGTTAGATTAACCAAAGGAACACTGAGTTTGGGGATAATAAAATATGGAAAATCCCTTGTTCCAGGCTGTCTCCTGTGTGGCTTCCATGTGTGCCTCAGCTGATGGGCATTCCCTTTCTGCTTCACTGGGCTTCCAGGCCTTCCCCTCCCTCAGTCCCTCTGTCCCCTGAGGCTGGGCACAGAAGCTGTAGCACAACCCTTGCAGTTCAGTGCTGTCTGCTACATCAGTCTCTTCAAATCTTACCATGTGCTGGATTGCCCCTTAACAGGAAATCTCTGAGTATTTTACATTTGAGTAGAAAGGAATGGAAGCTTGGAGCTGAGCCAGAGATTTCTCATGTAACATGAGATATTGTGACATCCTCTGGGACAGAGGGCATTCAGTGCTCCTGGCTTCAGGTTTGCATTCTACCATCAAAGAGTCCTTCAGAATCTCAGTGAAAACTGAGTGTTGACTACCCGGGTAGTACCAAAATTCCCGAGCAAGAGTCCTTATATCGATAAGAGATCATGAGAACTTCAGTTACCCACACCTGCAGGTGGAAGACAATATGCCCTTCCATGCAGCCTTCACTGCTGTCATATGGCTGTCACCCGTGCCTTGGGTCCTCCCTGGAAAAAGGTCTCTCCTCTGTTCCTGGCTGAGATGTGCCACCGCCCCTGAGCTGGGCGGACACGTGGGGCTCTGCTGCCACCACACGGGGACATGCAGCATCCTGGTGGTGCTTGCTCGGCCCCCATTCAGCAGTCGGGATCTTGGTAAAAGCAAAATGACAAACAAACAGATTGCTTTAGAAGATAGGAATTTTTTGCAGTAATGATTTTTGTAGTTTGTTCCTAACAAAATCTAAAGTCCGTACAGTGCTTGCCAGGTAGTCTTTGAACCATAAACAGCATGAAAGACAGAAGAGATACTTTCCCTCTTCTACTGAGTATGACTGAATCTTTATACAGAACCTAGGGAGGGTTTGAGGAAAGAAAGATGTACGTTTGCTGTGTAGTTCTCCCCTTTGGTTACCAAGTGTCGTGGTGGGTGGGTGGTTAATGAGGGTTAATGAACCAAGTAGCTGACAACAAATGCATCTGTTTGTTTATTTGCAGATTGTGCTGGCTGTGGAAGAGACATAAAAAATGGGCAAGCATTGCTAGCTCTGGATAAGCAGTGGCACCTGGGGTGCTTTAAGTGCAAGGCCTGTGGGAAGGTCCTAACCGGGGAATACATCAGCAAGTGAGTAACCTCTGCACCTCTTCTGAACTTGTGGCACGAGCTGCAAACAAAGAAGAGCTTGCAACAAAGTTCAGCTTTTGGAATCCTGTTTTGACCTCCTTTCCATATGCACCAAAATCTTTGTTGTCAGTGAGAGCTGAGTTGGGAAAGTAAACTGCCAAGTGGAACTGAAAGGTGATGTTGAATGATAGCAGTCTTGTATTTAAAACCAGTATGAAAGGAGGTATATCTTCATGTTCCTGCAGAGGATTAGGTGGATTGCTGCATATGTTTTCTGTATTCACCAGATAAAGTGTTGTGCCATTTTGCTTTTCAACACGTGATTTTGAGGAAAAAAAGTAGGAACCTGTCCACTTCTTACCTTTGCTAGAAAACAGAGTAACCTTGATGATGTGATTGACCTGACACTGTATTTCTCATCTGCATATAAGAAACTAATGAAGGGGTTTTGAGCAGAAGAAAGTACAGAGAAAGAGAGTGGGGAAAAGTGGTATAATAATAAAATGGAGGGAATGAAGATACAGTCTCTTTCCCCCCCTTCAAGCATATAACAAGAGAATAAATAAGAAAACAATATATGTTTGACAAACCTGCCATTCAGCTGTGTATACTATTTAATAAAAAGTAGTGTTTGTAATTTCTCAAAAAAAAATTTGGCATCTGAGAAATACTCCTAGGCTGACTAGTGTTTCCACTTTTACTTAATGTTCCCTGTTCATACTAAAAAACTACATGACCTTACACTTAAAAGCAGGCTTATAGCCTTGCAAACTACCAAAGATTATTTTTTTTCTGAACAAAAACTACCTGCCTATGATAAAGACTGTGATCTCCTCTCATCCCCACAGACATATTCCCACTGATTCCCTATAATTGCACCTGTAGGTGTAGAGAGTCTGCTCTAAATAATGAGATTTATTTTAGTGGTTTGTACTGGATGCCTTTTCTTGATGGGAATTTAAGGAATAATTCTAAGAGACACTAGTGAGAAAGATTTTTTTTTTCTTCTAATACAAACTGTTTCTCTTGAATTCTCTCCATTTGCCTGTTGCTGTGTGTAGGAGTTCCAGACTGAAGACAAAGGAAGAGTGTAAGTTACACTGTAAGCAGTTTACTAAAAGGTTGTTTGTAATTTGTGGATTTTCTTTTTCAGAGATGGTGCTCCTTATTGTGAAAAGGACTACCAAGTGCTTTTTGGAGTCAAGTGTGAAGCATGTCACCAGTTCATTACTGGGAAAGTCCTAGAGGTAGGTGTTTTGTAAACTAGAGTCTAAGAATTGGGCCATGTCCCATTATGTCCTCATGCAACAGCAGAGAATACAAAAATTCTCATAGGAAAGGTTTTTCAGCTGATTTTAGAGCAAAGTTGCTTATTTTGAGAGTGGTTTAGTTTTGCAGTCATCAGGAAAAGTATGTGATATAGAATTACTTGCACTAGTTTCTGTGGATCTTTGGTTTCTAATTTTTTATTTTCATGGTGATCTGCAAAGTCTGCAGATCAAATTGCACTGCTTTATTCTGTGTCAGATATTATATATTTATAGGAATAATTTGAGAACTGGAAATGTATTTGGCAACAATAAGTATCCTGAAGCTTGCCACATGAGGCTTACACATGATCTGAATGATGAAGAGAAGGTGAGAGGGAGAAATGTACTGGAGAGGTAAATTGTATGTTCAGAAATGAGAAGGCAGAAGCCATCTGAACCACTTCTTTTGTTGACTCTTATTTGGAGTCCTCAATGTTCTTATTGAAACCAGTCAAATCTTTTTAGAGATGTTTATCTTTCATTGTTGGTGCTGATCTTCATCTCCCATGGCTGTCATAAGTCCCCTTTGAGCTGGAATCCTTGAACTTTGCATGATCACCCTGTGTCATTACTGAAATGTTTAAGAGGCCAAAATGCAGAGGACCTTCCTTCTCACCTTGTCACTGAGACATGAGGAGCAAAACTGTTATCTTTTCCCTGTAGGAAACTCTGTTCAATGAGCTTTGAGCTCAGGTCTGGAGCTGGGCTATATGTTTTTCAGTGAATAACTGAAAATAAACCCGAAAATGTCACGAAAAATAAAAGCAGCTGGAATTAGCTAGTGAATGTGTTACAGGTTCTCTTCTTTGTGTCCCATCTACTACAGATAGAAGTCTGCATCAGCCCTCATATGAGAAGTTTCAGGTTGTACATAAAGTGGTTTAGTTCTGGAGGTCTCTGTGGTACAGCATTCAGAATATTTACTGGCCACCAATGAGATACTCAGAACACATGTGGACACCTGGTGCATTTGTCACTGCGTGTGACAAACGTGGGTAGAGACCTTTCCCAAATCTTCGTTCGCAAAGCCCAGCCACGATGATGATACTAGAAGGAAGTACAGTTCTTTCATTAGCCAGAGTCTTAGTCTGCCTCCTTTGCAATGTGTATCCAATTCCTTTGGAGACCCATACAGATAATTATGGAGAACAGCCCGAGTTTTCTCTTGAGTAGGAAGACATGTTTCTGGCTTTCTTCTTCTGGTCTGCTACCATCTGTTTATCTATTCTTGTCTACTGATGAGTTTTGCAATTTAGTGTTATGTATTGGTGACACCATAGTGCAGGAAGCACTGCAGGAGAGGAGTAATTGGATTTGTGAGACTGGGAAACATAGAATAATTTAGAAAGAATTCTAAAATTATTTTAAGTGTTTTATTTTAAGATAGGTGCTCTAACCTACAAGCAATGCAACCTATTGAGAGGCATGGAGATGGAAATTATAAAAGAGAATATTATTAGAGTCTGTGGAAAGCTGGGAAAAATTAAGCTATGTCTATCTGGAGCCCTTTGTGTAGTAGATGTGAATATGGCAAGGTTGCACTGGTGTTACTCTTCGTAGCATCAGTGAGGAAGAAAGCTAGATCTTTGAGGGGATCATCAGAACTGGATAAATTAAGAATAAGGAAAGATTAGTTCAACTGAGCTAGAACTTGGCTGTCCATGATACTCTAAGCTAAAGTTTGGGTTTTCAGAGATATTGTGTCCTGGGCAGAACTTTGATGCAGTCATTTTGACCCCAAGCTTAGTTTCTCACTCCATAGTTCTTACTCTTCTGGTGACTGTTTATTAGCAGAAGATGAGACAACATTTTGCTGCAGCAATGAAACATGTCCAACCTCTTGTGTCTACCTGTTCTAAGAGTCAAAATCAGATAAAAAAAGATAAAGATTTTTCCATTTGACATAGTCCCTGCAGAATCAGAATTTGCTGATGAATTAGAAACAGACCCTTTGAATGATCCTGTCAATAATGGAAACATTATTTCCGGTGGAAACATGGGTTCTGTTTAGACTAGAAATTTTATTTGAATATTTGTGGTTTTCACCAATTATCAGAGACATAACCCAAAATACTGCAGCAGAGGGCAGCAGTGCTTCTCAGTATGTAACTAAGCCCAAACTCCTCTAAGACCTTGCAGCTCTTGAAAGCTGACTGCTGTCTGAAACGTGTAGATTGGCCAAGTCCTTAGAAATTTTCACCAAAAAAATTAGTGCTGTGTGTTCAGGGAGGCTATTCAGACTTTGGCTTAACTGCATTACAGTATGTATTAGCAGCCTGGATAGTCAATGATTAGTGTTCTCCAGGTATCATAAGGGAATGCAGATGCAGGAGAGACATCCAAATACTTTATGTCCTTAAGTGGTGCTTGAAAGTTTAGAAGGCAGCTAACATTCAATAATCAGAGGAGTTTATCAGAACTGTAGGCTAGTTTCTTGGCTCATGACTATCAGAGATGCACAGTTCCAAAGGGGCAGGATTAATGCCTCTAAATAGGACTAAAATAAATCAAAACTTAGCATGAGAAAATCCTGTGTCAGCACATGTGTCCCCTTTGGGCAAAAAAAGTTAGTGTAAAGGATGGGGTCAGAGCATGACATAAATCCTCTGGTAATAACGGAGATGAGGGATCAGAAGCAGCCACGGGGCCGCAGAAGATAGTTCACAGAACAGGATGCCACACTTCAGAGAGGGCTGCAGTCCTGTTTGAGGCAGGACAATTAACAATCTCCTTATCCTGTACAGGAAATCACCCACAGCCTTTCGGTACACCTGAAGTTTTAATTTAGATGAAGATTGAGAATCCCAGACAGGATTACTGTCTTCCTTCTTTGTTTTCTTTGGCAATGTTCCTTTGGCAAATTTGAGGATTTTTGGTGATTTATATCATGCGGGTTGTCTCTTGTCCTGCTGTTTCCCTATTGGGAAGGAAACCACATTCTTGGTGTGAAGTAGTACATTTATAGGAATTGCCTACATAGAGGTTATGACTGCCCAGCCCAAGTTATACCTACTGACATGCAGTAAGAAAAAAACTTAAAACACTTTGTATTTTGCCTTTGATAATAAAAATAGTTGTAGTAAATGTCCTGCAGTAAATATATTGATCAGTATATTCAATTTTGTCAATAAAATAATTCATCATATCAGAAGCAGAGTATACTGTCTCATCGAGTTCATCCAAAGAAATGATTAGAAGAGATTGGAGGGAAATATCTGGTACATTGTACAAACTTCCCTCTAATGGATCAGAAGTGATTAGCAGTAAGCATTTGTAGTGTGGCTTTATTTTCTGCTTATTCTTATTACATCTAAGATAGCCTGTAGAAAAACTGAAGGGAAATGAAAGCATGAAACTTAGCTATGGATTCTCAGAGGGTGGTGCTGTCTATTTTACTGGTAAAATACTACTTCTTTTTAATTTAAAGAGAAGTTGAGATTTTTGAAACACTTCAGACTTGCAGTTCCTGCTCATTTTGTCCCTCAGTGTATCTTTAGCACTTCTGTAAAATCAGGCTTTCAGTCTCCTACAATGAGCAGCCAGCAAGAGAGATACACACTCCTGATGTGAATCTAAGAGTCTTCATCTCAGAAGCAGCTGTGCTGTGCCCCTGGTCAGCACCTCAGCAAAGCCTGTCAAAAAGGCCAAGGTTTGGGCTCAAACCTTTAGATTCAAGCCTTGAGAGGATTGACTCCCTCCAGCCACTCTGTAGAGGTGATCCCTCTGCTCAGTTAAGAACTGCATCACTAGAAAGAGATATTATTATTTTGCTAATATCCACAAATCGTGGAAGAATGCTTTTTTTTCCCTAGGACATAGATTTAACAACTTTCAATAGCCATGAAAATACACAAGAAAAATAACATGTGCATTTAAGTCAGCTCAGATATTTCTGATGTAATATTTGGCACGTAACTTTCTGTGACAAATAGTCACAGACGACAGATAAGAGCATGGCAACACAATAAATGTGGTAAACGTCCAATGAGAAATAGATATTGCAACTTTCTTGAGCATACTGGATACTTTAATACTTGAGTGTTTCAGGAAATGTTGTCAAGGCAACAGAGATCAGTGTTCTTCTTCCTTGGATTTCTCCATCAGAAAGGAATCTTTAGTCATGAAAAATTACTCATTTCCCATTAACTGGTGAAAAACATTTTTAGCAGGCAGTAACACATAGTGAGAGTGAGGACTTCTACACATACTTTTCACTAAGCTTTGGCTTTCGTAGCTTCCGGGCTTGCCCTTTGAAAGATGTCTATCTAACCATAATCCTGCAAATTTCTGTGTAGATGTGCAACTCCACAAATCTAAGTAAACTTCAGCGTGTATTTAGCCATTTGAAAGATGTTGGCCTAAATAATTTTTGTCTAATGTAGTTTTCATGCAAAATATAACTATTCCTCCAGGGCTTAATTCAAAATAATTTAAATAATTGAAAAGCTCCCCATTGACTTAAAAAAATGGTGGATCATGCCTATATCCATGATTTCATCTTTGTTTATATAAAGTGTTTTACAAAACTTCTAAGCAGAATTCTTTAAGTTCTGCAGAACAAAGACATGAGGCCAGAAACAGGTAGATATTTTGCATGAAATCAAATAGAAAATTTGAGAATAAGATTGAGGTCTTACAATTTTCACTTTTTTTTGGCTGTAACTGATATGAACAGGATTTGATCTCATAATCTAGAGACAGAGATGTATATATCTGCTCTCAAATCCCTCAACCATCTTGCTATATTACCCATTTATTTTTATAATACTACGTACTTAATATTAATTGGCAAAGAAAAAGCCATTGCGTAATTTCTCCTAGCTGTGCATAGCTCTAGTTCCTGGTCTGAGGGGCTGCTGCCTGCCCTGGGTTTGCTTCTTGTGCACTGTTGAAACTTGCACCTCGCCGTGTAAGCAGTGGCACAGTGCCATTTTCAC